AAGAAAAACTGCAGGTGCCAAGTAGTCAAAAGGAGAAATTCTCACCACGCTTAGAGCAGCGCTCAGTCTCCTTAAAGGTCAGGGAGAGGGCCAGGTTCCCCACTCCCAGGCTCTCCCACCTGCACCCCCCTTCCACTGACTGCCTGCAGCAATCCACCCGTCACACCCCAGAACTGAGCACAACATGAGACCCTCTCCTCCATGCCCTGACTCAGGCGAGCCTGATGCCCCAGCAAACACAAGCAGCTGGGGAAGCCGGGGAAAACCAGTCGCAGAGTTCAAAGTCATGGCCTAGACAATCCCCACAGGGAACACAGTTGGTCCCGCCCTGTCCCCCTACCCCTGCGTGTGGATACATAACCCTATGTCTGGGCAGCAAGTATAGGCAGGTGTGTCACACACTCATCTACGGTTTCTGGCGGCGTGCTGCCCAGGGAGGCTGGGCAGACAGATGAACCCTGGGACACTGACCCAGCACCACCTGCACCCAGGCACAGCCCAACAGGAGGGGTCCCCAAATCACACAGAACTGCAACGCCCACCTCCCACCACCCACCACCTCCTGGCCTCAGTGCCCGACGTCCAGGCTGCAGGAAGGCCAGGTCTATTTTAAATCCTGTCTCTAAAGCGATCTGGAGCCTCAGATCTGCAAGTATTCTTAGCCTCGCTGCCTGAGTGCGGCACAGTGCCGGCCTTGCAGAGTAAATTCCAAGACTTTATCAACACCAGGCTCTTCGCATCATGCTGACACTCAAATCACACTGCCAAAGTAACAACAGGCACAGAAAGGCTCAGGAAGACATGCAACCTAAGTCGACACTTTTAAAAAAGAGTGCTGCCACCATAACATTGAAATAGTTGCAATTAAGCTCCTGCAGACACAAGAGTGTGGTGTGATCAGGGAGACAGATGTGGGTGCGCAATCCACTGGGGAACACTCCTCAGGGCCCAGGGGAAGGGCGGGGAGTAGGGCACCGCCCTCCCAGGATCCTGGGTGGCTCCTGAATCCCCAGCCCAGGGACAAGAGGACACCTCGGCAGCCCCTGCCACCCTGCCCCCAGGGTGATGTACGTGTTGGCCCAGGAGGGAATGTGGCCTCCACACGCCATGAACCTCCATGCCCGTGGTGCTCCCAGCTCTCCTGGTAGTCAGAGCCCTCCCCCTGCCATGCAAGGCTGCTGGGAATGGGGACGCAGTGGGGACTGAAGGCCCTCACTCCATGGGGTCCATGTCTGGCAAGGAAAGACTGATGCCTGCATCACACATGGCCAGCACGTGATCACTGGAGGATGAGCGTGGGGTGCCAGGCCAGCATCTGGGGCCCCCATACTGTCCCGCTGAACTGGCTACACTGGCAGCGTGAGGGACCCCACGTGCACTCCCACCCCCTCTGAACCAGAAGCCAAGATTCAGGTCCAGTGCCTTCCAGAGTATTCTTCCTTCAAGGAGCCAGCGCTGTGGTCAGCAAACCTCACTGGCTGCTTCTTAGCACTCAGTAATCGGGCCGGTGAGGGCAGGTGAAGGGCGGGGAGACAGCAGGGGTCATCCTGAGCAAACCAGAGGTGCAGCACAGGAGCAAGATGCTGGGGGCCACCCTGGGGGACAGGGAGTGTGCAGAGCCAGACACCAGCCTGCCCCATCACCCAGGGCTGCCGGCCCTCATGTCTGCAGCATCCCCTCTCTCAGGGACCTCCCTCGAATCCAGTCCCACTGCTTTCCAACCGCCCCGGACCCCAGTGTTCCTGCTCACTCCTCTTGTGGGGTGCCCTCCCTGCTCTTCCCCCCAGCCGCACGTCCCCAGAAAACACACCAGGGCCCCAGTCTCCAGGGGTCACCCCATCCCCAGGCAGGCCCATGTCTGAAAGCTCCACCTCCCATTCCGAGCTCACGCCAGGACCTAGCAGCGGCGGCTTGCTTTTTCTTCTTTCTTTTCTTTTTTATAAGGAAGAGGTGGGTTTTCTCCCCTTAGGACCCCTCTGGTGAGAGACCCCAATCAAACCCAGGGCTGAGCAGAGCTGAGCAGTCCCACTGCCAGGAGGCAGACTCCTCCTGCCGTTGCTCCCAGGGGGCCATGGGGGCAACAGATCGCTGCCCCTACCAGGCAAGGAGTCTAGAAAAAGATGAAAGAACGTGGGAGATTTCCACCACTGCGCCTGGAGCCATGGCCAAGAGGGAAGGGTGAGAACGCCATCTAGTGGTCATTGGGGAGCAGCGTCAGGGCAGGACTGGACAGTTCAGTTCAGTTCAGTCGTTCAGTCAAGTCCGACTCTGCGACCCCATGGACTGCAGCACGCCAGGCCTCCCTGTCCATCGCCAACTCCCAGAGCTTACTCAAACTCATGTCCATTGAGTCGGTGATGCCATCCAACCATCTCATCCTCTGTCGTCCCCTTCTCCTGCCTTCAATCTTTTCCAGCATCAGGGTCTTTTCCAATGAGTCATTTCTTTGCATCAGGTGGCCAAAGTATTGGAGCTTCAGCTTCAGCATCAGTCCTTTCAAAGAATATTCAGGACTGATTTCCTTTAGGATGGACTAGTTGGATTTCATTGCAGTCCAAGGGACCCTCAAGAGTCTTCTCCAACACCACAGTTCAAGAGTATTAATTCTTCGGCACTCAGCTTTCTTTACAGTCCAACTCTCACATCCATACACGACTACTGGAAAAACCATAGCTTTGACTAGACGGACCTTTGTTGGCAAAGTAATGTCTCTGCTATTTAATAAGCTGTCTAGGTTGGTAGTAACTTTTCTTCCAAGGAACAAGCATCTTGTAATTTCATTTAATTAAAAGGACTGGACACAGCCACTCAAGAGACCCTGGTGGCTGTTCCTCCCTCCACCAAACAGGCCAGGGAGCTGGGCCCAGCAGCACGCACACACACACACACACACACACACAGGTACCTGATACACACATACACACCCATGCTCACACCACATAGATACCTGACAAACATACACACACATACACTCATATACACACACCCATGTGTATACGTTCACACTCACATGCATATACTCATATACACTAACACACTCATTTGTATACACACAAACACAAATATACACACACAAACACTCACATACAAATGTATTCACATATACACAGACACACACATGCACACATGCAGCCCCAGCCTGGGTATCTGTCCACACTCTGCCCACCAGGCCCATGGGGAGCGCACTGCCTGCGGGAAATGGCGCCAGAACCCCCCTTACCCCCCAGGTGTGGGCCTGGGCAGAACAGGGGCCCCTCCCACCAGGCAGTCCCAGCCCAGCGTTGCTGTGCAGGGAGCTGTGCTGTTGGGGGGGCTTGGGGGCAGCTCTGGGCAGCACCCAGACCAGGAAGCCCCTCTGCTCCATGCAGAGGACCACACCAAAGGTGCGAGACTCAGGCCACCATCACCAACCCCACCAATTTCTCTCCAAGTGTCTCCCAAAGACAAATACCCCCAGTGCCTGGAGGTTTTGATGATCATGGGCTCATGGAAAGCCACAGAAAGGCACACAAGAAGAAACACAAATTGAAGACAGGAAGTCTGTGGAACTGTAACAAGATCCCAGCAACCCACAATGTTGTACAATGCAAGACCAGAGAGCCCATGGCCAACAGAAAAACGGCCCCAAAGATAGCCATGGCCCAGTCCCAAGATCTGACGACATGTCACCTGTCACGGCAGATGGGATTCTGCAGGAGGGGTTAAGTAGAGGCCCCTAAGAAGGGGACGACTCTGCATTCCCAGGGCCCCAGTGTCATCACAGGGTCCTTATAAGAGGGAGGGGGAGGGTCAGAGGCAGAGTGACAGGAGATGCTGAGCTTATGGCTGTGAGGATTGAGGAAGGGGCCGCAAGCCAGGGATGTGGCACCTCTAGAAGCTAGAAAAGGCAGGAGCTGGCGCTCCCTGGAGCCTCTGGTGGGACCAGCCCTGCCCACGCCTGGATTTAGTCCCATGAGGTCCAGGACAGCCTCTGGCTCCAGGACTCTCAGAGAACGAATGTGCGGGAAGGTAAAGCCACCAGACCTGTAATCCTTCGTCACAGCACCCCTGGGAAACTCATACAGCCCCAGCCTCCCCTGCCCGACTAAGCGGGAGCCACGGTCAGACTGCGGGGGCGGGGGCTTGCCCTGTCCATGGCAGAGGCAAGGAGGGGTGGTCACAAGCCAGCGGCCAACAGGGGGGCCTGGCTTCTGGGCCCTCTGCTCAGAGGGCCAGCTCGCCGCCCCTCGGCAGATGGCCCAGGATGTCCCCACGACTTAGGGGCAGGGTAACCTTCCTCTCAGGGCCAGCTCTGTGCCGGGATAAGGCAGGTACCTGGGCCAGGGTCCGCCTGGGCCCCTGCTGCCCCCCAGCGGAGGCGAGCACAGCTCTCCAGCGGAGGTCCTGAGTGTCCCCCTCTGCTCCCAGCTCCAAACCCCCTCTGGGCTGCAACAGCTACTGTGACAAGAGAACCAGCCTCCTAAAAGCTGGGGGGAGGCAGGGAGACGCAGCGGCCCCAGCTCAGGAGTCTCTGCTGGAGACGCAGGCAACATTGACGGCCGCCCGCCATCCTACCAGCAGAAGCCATGTGTCAGGGGAGCTCTCAGCTCAGAGCTACCAGACCACTGTGCTGGACATCCAGCCCAGCCTCTGGGGCCTGGCACTTACAGAGTACCTTTCAGGGGCCTGCATGGCTGCCCCACACTGCAAACAGCAGGTGGATCCCACTCCTCAGAAATCAGGAGGGGCAATACTAACCCCACTCCAACCCGGAGGCCAAGAGGGAGGCATGGGGAGGCTGAAACCGTGGTCCCACGAGGCACCATCGGAAGCCTGGCCACAGGCACATTCAGTGTGAGGCTCTCCAGGTGAAACCACAAGCTCTGGGGATCTGGAGCTTGTTTCTGGGGGGGCTTGCATGCCCTCATCTAGTGGGGGCTGGGCTGGCAGAGCCCCATCCAGCACCGCAGCCACATCCCCCCAACCTGGGGAGCCCCTCGCATCTCCCGGCCGGCCCTCACCAGGACTTGGGCTCCCCGAAGTGCAGGTAGTTGATGCTATACAGGTCCATGTCCTCCGTGTGCCAGGCGAAGGTGGTCTTCCACATGCCGAAGTACAGGTAGGGCGTGTTAACGCCCTCGATGATGGTGCCGCATTCGCGCTCCACCATGTCCAGGATGGTCCGCAGGTTCCCGATGTTCCACTGGGCCACGTCCTGCAGGGCGATCACACAGTCAGCCCGCTGGCCACCCTGGGCACCCAGCTCCCCTGACCCCCACCCCCAGACACCAGCAGTGAGACACCTACGTCATTCCCTCTGAGCCCCCCGCGGCAGTGTGACCCCCACCCAGGGACCGAGAGTCAGCAACCAGCCCCACACCCGCCCACTTCACAGCCTCGCCCATGCTGGTGTCCAAAACCCACCCCGGGCCATGCACAGCCCCCGCCCGGGGCCAGATGGTCAGACGCGGCTTCCCCCGGTCCTGCACTGAGCTGTGCGTGGCTGTGCGGGAATCGCGGGCAGTGAAGGCCACGTGGCAGAGGCCACAGCCAGTGAGGAATAATTCATGTGCCTTGAGCTCACTGATACAGGAGAAGGAAGGACACATCCAGCGGAGCCTCACATCACGTGTCACACAGGCCTTTCTGCACCTTCCCACCGCGGAGGCGGGGACGGTGCTCAGAGCCAGGCAAGTGCGGGAGGATCCCCGCCAACCAGGTTCATCTATTTCTAATGCCACAAGCAAACAAGCCTTGTCTTGTCATGAGAGCTCGTAAAACATGCTTCCATCAACTCCCAGTCCCCAGGGAAGCCTCGGGGAGATGCTGAGCACACGGTGGTGTTCCTTCACACCTCAGATCCAACCCTGCCGCCCGCCTCATCCACATTCCAGGCCCTGACTTCACAGGGCCAGTGGTAGGTCTCTACAAGGGGAGCTGTGGCTGGAGCCCAGGATGCAGGGGAAGGCCAGGATCAGACCCCCACCGTAAGCATGAAAAGCCTGGGGTCACCTCCAGTAGAAGCTGCCTGAGGTCAGGGGGCACCAGCAACCGGTCACCTCCCCAAAGCCCTATGCATTCACCCTGCCATCAGGCCTACACATCCATAATGTGACTCCAAAAAACACTGAATTATACACTTTAAATAGGGCTTCCCAGGTGGCTCAGCGGTAAAGAATCTGCCTGCCAATGTATGAGATGCAGGTTTGATCCCTGGGTCAGGAAGATCCCGTGGAGAAGGAAAGAGCAAGCCACTCCAGTATTCTTGCCCGGAAAATCCCATGGACCGAGGAGCCTGGTGGCCTATACAGTCCATGGGGTTGCAAAGAGTAGGACACAACTGAGCAACTAAACAGTAACAAATGTCTGTTTTAAACGGGTGGTTTGTATGCTTTGTGAATTATATCTTAATAATGTTTAAAAAAGCAATGACTCAAATACTCAACAAATAAACAAAGCAACCCAACTGGCACTAACTTTCCAAAACTCTACGTGGAAAATGACGGGTCATTTGACCAACAGGCATACAACTCCACACCCACCCTGTACTCAAGCACATGAACTTCTGTTCTTCTGTCCTCTCAGGCTGCTGGGGTCAAATTCCCCTCCAAGAAGTCACGATCCATAGACTGAGCAGCAGAGCGGCGAGCTGGGCCGGGCCGCTGGGGAGGCAGGACGCTGACACTGACCGCCCCCGCCCCCACCCGGAGGCCCACACCATGGCCAAGTCAGGACGGCTGCCGGCTGGAGGCGCAGAGCACAGGCAGCTGGGCCACCTGCCAGCTGGCCTGGACTTTAACACTAGCTTGGGACTGCACACGGAGCGGGACGCAGCAAGGTTCCCAGCCATGGAGCCGCAACGCCCCCCACTCAGAGCTGGGGAATCTCCTGGAAGGGCTAAGTGTCCTAAGGGAAAGGGTGCTAGTTACGGAAGAGACGCTTCATCCTGCCCAGGGAAATCACCCTCTTTGTGTTTAGAGACCAGACGTGGCCTGGGGGATGCCCACCGCGGTGCTCTGCCAGAGCTGCTCCCAGGAGGAGCCCTGAACACGATGAAACCAGGGAGAGCTGGGGGAGCCCAGCCCTGATCCTGGCCTCTAGGGGTGACGGCTCAGGGCCTCAGTGGCCTGATGTGGGGAATGGGGGCCTGGAGATGAAATCCCTCTCCCTGGGTCTGGAGGCCCTTGAAGTAAGCAGAGAAGCAGGGGGAGCAGTGAATGGATATCAAGGAGCCCCAGGAAGTGCAAGGCACACGGCCCCACTAGCCCCTCATCAATCTGACATCAGAACCTCTGCACTGGCCCAAGGGTCAGCTGGCCGGTGGTACAAAAACACACTGGTGTAACTGGAAAACTCGCCAACGACAAGGTGATCGACCCCTACGTTCAGAGGTGCACGGGAAGGAGATGGGGCAAGGTGCATGGGAGGTGCATAGGGCAGGGATGTGGCGCGGGGGCAGTCATGGGCCTGGGCAGCAGCGCATGCGACAGGGCATCTGTGACCGTGTCCTCCGAGTAGGTACTGCCCTGCTGCCAGGGGCTGTGTGCTCGTCTGGAAGAGGGCTGAACTTGTGGGTCATCTGCCTCTGGGGTCAAGTCCAAGAGGACGAGCTCAGGGTCTGGGATACCCCTAATGAAGGGTTCCTTGCACTCACTGTGCCCCACTTTATTGATGGGGAAACCAAGGCTCAGAAAGGAGGAAGCAGGCGCGAGGGGCAAACTTGGTACTGGACCCAGGATGAGGGTGCCTCCCTGGGTTCTAGGGGACGTGGGTGAGCTCACTTAAAGCCTGACCCGCGCCTCCCAGGTAACAAACTAACACCCTTGGTGCCGTGCTCCACGAGGCAAACCCACTAGCAGAAGAGGGAAAAGCCGCCACAGGTCAGACGAGCTCTGTGAAGCTGAAACGCCAGCAGCGACTCAGCTCGGGACACAAGCAAGGTCACAGGTTTCCCATGCTTCTTGGGAAACACAAGCCGCTGGTTCTAACAGGTTCCTCCCCTGGGCGCCCGGGAGGGTCCTGACCCTTCTCTCAAGAGGAACTTTATTCCCACCCTTACCTCCCAGCCCGAGACCAGGTGGCGCCCACAGCCGCCCTCAGGGGAGCAGGGCTGAGTGGACAAGAGTGTTCTCAGCAGACAGCCTTCAGAGGGACGGAGTGGGGGTCACACAGCGGGCAGAGGGGGTGTGGACAGGCCTGGATCCTAGCAGGGCAGAACACCTCGGAGAGAGTCAGGCTTCGGAGCCCTGTAATGAACCCCATTAGGTCCCTCCCAGGGTTATTGGAGGTCCCGTAAACATTTATAAACCATCCCCCCAAATATTCGAGGTCCCGTAAATATTTACAAACCATCCCCACAAAACACAGTCCCACTCTGCTCGACACCAGCCCTGCCCGAGGCCTTGGCATCAAGCTTCAGTCAGGGGAGCGGTCTGGTCTCACCGCTTGGACAGGCCTCGGGCAGCACAGGCCCGAAGGCAGCAAGGGGACTAAACGTGATGCAGCCAGGGGCAGCTCGGCTGGCTGGGAACTAGGCTCCCAGGTCTCCAGGAGGATGGAGTGATAGAAACTCGAAAAGAAAAGCACTCAAGTGAGAATTGACAGGGGCCCTGGGAGGTCAAGACTGAGAACCCTGGCAGCCTGCAGTCTGCGGGGTTGCCAGAGTCAGACACGACTGAGAGACTAAACAACAACTGGGACAAGGGATGGAATGCTGGCTGTTGTCTTTTTAAAACTGCCCTGGAGTCAGGCTGCAGGTCAGCGGCCGAGCATGGCATCCGGGCAGGGCTGCACTCTGACCTGGCAGGAAAGATTCTACAGACCTCCAGCCTGCTTCTCTCATCCTGAGCTCGGCGCCCACCTGTATGTAGAGCCCCAGCAGAAGCCCAGCGGAGTGTCCCACATCATCCCTGCCTTGACCACCCAGGAGGGAGCCCACTCCCGCCTTCGCCCGCACTGCCCACCCAGACGCCGGGGCCTCGGCACTCACGTCGTCATACAAGGAGCCGCTGATGTCGGCCCCGTAGATGGGCGACACGAACGTCAGGTTCTTCCAGTACTTGCGCTCCAGGTCGTCGAAGTCCTGGTGTCGGGGGGTGCAGTACCTGGGGACAGACCGCTTGTGAGGGGCTCAGGCCACCTGCTGGATGAACCAGGGGAGGAGCTCTGCTCAAGCACAGGCCACTTTGGTATGGGCACAGCCCTGGAGCACGAGGACGAGGTGTGACGGCCGTCAGGGGAGGGGGATGGACAGGCGGGCAGTCCAGCCCGGAACAGTGCCTAGTGGTCCCGTCTCACCAGCTCTCGGGGCCCAGGACCCCCAAATCAGATCACAGGTCAGGGGCATGGAAGCTGGAGGAGGGACCTGGGCTCTGACAGTTCCTGTCTGCCTACCCCTTGAAGGTACAGATGGTACCAATGACGGGCCGGGCACCATGGGGTGGGGGCAGATAGTGCCCTCATAGGACACTTGAAAGCAAACAAGTAAACACACTGCCAGCACTGCACCAATGGTCTTAGGGAGCTCAGCCAGGGAGGCCGGGAGCTCCACAGAAAGGGAGCGTGCCCGCGTGCTGTGAACGCCCAGGGATACGCCCACGAGCTCCTGGAGTGTGCGCCCACGTGGGCCCTGCTGGACCAGGAGCTCGGACAGACCCTGCCAGGAGCCTCCCTCTGAGAAGGTGCCGCAGAGCTGAGACATCCCAGGAGGGACAGGGAGGCACCCCAGGGCTGGGGGACATGGACGGGCCCTGAAAGGCTGGCCTTCAGCAGTCAGTGTTCAGGGCAACACAGGTGCACGGCATGGCCCTGGGTCAGGTGAGGGTCCAGATTTTGCCCCCTGAGAACCTGGGGGCTAAGAGCCTAGGGTGCTGAGGCCCACCCGGGGCACACAGGCAGGCTCTGTGGGCACTGTGTCTGCCCCACCCCCGACACTGCCCCAGCCCGCGTACTTCTCGCTGTTGGCCAGGCGCCGGTACTCGCCGACCGTCATGGCCTTCTTCTGGATGTTGTACTGTGTGAAGAGGCCCGACTGGCCGGTCACCACTTGCTGGATGGGCGCTGGGATCACCACGTCATCAATGTCGTCATACGTCTGCCGCGGCTTCCACTCCTTTGGGGGGATGATCTGCAAGACCAGGAGAGTGGTCAGCGGCCCCTCCCTGGGCTCAGCTGCTTGGGACCAGGCACCAGACGGAGAGAGACCGGGGCACTGGGCACCCCCCATCCACATCACCAAGCTCCCTGGAGCCCCAGGGCTAGGCCAACCTGGGCATCAGCAGCTTGGGTGGTGGGGGGACTGTGCGCAGCTGCCCAGGATCTGTGTGATCACACAGGGAGCAGCCGTGGGCAGGGTGGGCCGTGGGTGCTGCCTGGCATAGTATGCACTCGCTGCGTCCCGGAGGCTCCACCATCATACCCTCTGGCCACCGCGTGCCCAGTTCAGGACTCAGTGTGGGTGCGGCCCCAGAGTAGACATGGGTGCTGCAGTGCACACCCATGCCAGGAGCCCCACTTCAGGGACACCTCCTGGGAAGAGGCCACACCGCCCAGGGAACAGGGACACGGGATGAACGGCCATACCGGGAGCAGTGCGCAGCTGGGGTGCACATGGAGGGGACCCTGTGAGATGCAAGGGAGGGGCCAGCCTCTGCTCCTGGGAACCAGCGGAACCGCAAGCCGCCCTGAAGATGGCAGGCCTGGTGATCAGAGGAGCCATGCCCCCTCCTGACTCCTTCCCCCTCGCACCTTCCCCAGCAGCCTGAGGCATGGACCCCAGCTGGGCAGTGGCCCAGAGCACAAGAACAGCTGAGGAATGTGGCTGGTCACCCTGAAAGTCCCACACATACCCAGAGTCCCCCACCCCCCAGCCCCCCACTCACACTGAGTGCTCACCCCGCCCCCAGCCAGCTGCCCTGAGCCCAGTGTTCGAGTGGTAGGGGGTGTCATCAAACGTAGCTTTGATGGGAAAGGAAACCCCAACACCACACACACACACACACACACACACCCCAGAAGGGCAGTCAAGGCCGGTGAGACTTGAGTTAAGGGGACCTGGCATCTGGAGAGCTCGCTCAGGCCAGCAAGACACCCGGTCCCTTCTCCGAGGCTGGCAGGGCTGAGGGCTGCATGGGGGAGAAGTGATACGCGGCGTGGGGGGGGCGGGGGGGCGGAGAAGAGGGATGTGGCAGGGTGTCTCCCTGGACCCGTCTGTCCCTGCAGAGGCAGGGAGACCGCTGGGGGCCAGAGACACCAGCGTGCTGTCCTTGCAGATGGGGGCAGGGAGGATGCACGTGTGTCGGCGTGACTGCCCCACAGCACGTCTCACTGACAGCGGGGGAGTTCTCCCAGCGGCCATGCCTGCCCCCACCCTGCCCTTCCAGAGAGGCCTGCCCGCACCACAGCAAAGAGCACAGAAAACACCACTTAAGAGGAGTGGAAAGGAACCTTTAAACAAAGGGCAGAGAGAAAATGTGCCTCAAAACATCTGACGCACAAAAATATCCAGGCTGAGTGGTTTCCCATCGATTCAAGTAAGCTGGCAAAAAGTGGGTCCAGCGGCTTGAAGAGCTTAGAGCAGAGACAGATGCAGGGCCCAGAGGATAAATGCTGGCGAGGTCACGTGCGGGACTCAGTCACAGCCCACAAGGCTGCACCCTGAGTGGCCCCGCGACAGAAAGCACCGGAAACATCCAGAAGTGGGAGCCGGGGGTGATGGCAGAGGGCGGAGAGGAGAGGCTGGGGGGAGCGTCAGGTGCTGCCGGCAGAACATTCCATGATGTTAACAAGATTCCTGGCAGAAAGGACGACTGGGATCCAAAAACAGAACTGGCGCCGCATCCCAGCAGACGCGGAACGAGGTCAGGGACAGAAGACATTCCAGATAAAGGGAGGCCCCAGGCCTCAGGAGTCCACCCGAGACAGACGGGGCGCCTCGGGGAAAGGGGCCTGACAACTGCCACCAGCCAATCTCTCAGCCCCAAACAGAGGCTCCGAACCTACAAGAACCAGGCCAGGGTCTTCCAGAGCCAGGGACCTTGATGAGAACCTTCTGCTGAGTCTGTGCCATGCGGGGGTGGGGGGTGCAAGGAACAGAGATACGGGGGGTCCCGCAGGCCCACGGCGCTCCTCTCGCTCTCCACGCGGCTGAGATGAAAGGCATGGGTGTGACATGGTCAGCCAAAGCCAGCCAAGGATGCGGGGGGCCAGCACACCTGCCCCCTTGCTGCAGACACTGCCTGGGGGACAGACCCCCAGGGACCACAGCCCAAGACCACCCACCACCTGCTTCTGTCCAGCCAGCAAGCAGATGCCATGTTCTTTTTTTTTTCATTTTTAAATGGTTAGGGGAAAATGACAAAGAAGACATTTCAGAATGGGTGAAAATTTTATGAAACCTTCACTTTGATACATCAGGTTTTATGGGCACACAGCCAGGCCTGTGGGGATGAGAACCAACCACAGCTGCAGAGCTGAGAGGTGGAGACAGACAGTCCGGCCCAAGAATCTGAAAATATTTCCTATCTGGCCTTTGCAGAAAAGGCTGGGCGACTCCCAGCATCACTAACAGAGGACTGGATATGAGACACAATGACAGGCATATGGGAAGCGACTCAAAGAACCCCAAACAGGCAATGAATCTCCCAGATTACGTGCTGGGCAGAACCATGTATACACAGGCTCACGTGCACACGAAGGAGCTCTCCAAGACCTGTCCCCTGCACAGAAGGGTGTGGGCAGCCATCTACGGCGCATACACATGCTCGCATCCGTGTGAGAAAGGCATGACAAGAGACGCAGGAATTGGTGCCCCACTGCCCCAGGCAGAGGGGCTGGGGTCAGAGGGGGCACTCGTTCTCCCTATGGACCCCATCACAATGTTTGAACTTGCCCATTTACATGACAGTCTCCCAAAAAACGTGTTTAAGGAGGAATATGAAGGCAGAAAGCCAGCCCTGTTCAGCATCAGCTCCACGAAGCCCCAGGGAGGTGAGGAGGCTGCGGGTCCCATCACAATGCGCTGAGTCCCACCCTGCGTCCATGCCCTCAGGGATCCCAGTGCCCAAAACAGTGCTGGGCTTGGGGAAAGAACATACGGGTGTCCTTAATAAATAAGGGGCTCAAGGAGTGGATTAATGGGTGCCTCATGGGCCCCAAGTCCTGGGGAGGGGGCTACAGAGCAGCAGCCGTGGAAAGTGGCTACAGGACCGGAGGTCATTCACCTTGGCCAGGCCCGCCCGGTGGGCCCCCTGGGACTCGATGTAGGCCACATATTTGTTGAAGTCCTTGAACTCCTCCATGGTTGGGCGGAACGTCATGATCTTACAGCTCGGGTTCTGGGCCCCATGATCCTCAGACCCCATGGCTGCGGCAGAGGGATGGCCACACCTGCAAGGAGACAGAGAACGTCAGCACCACCGCCGCCAGCCGGTCCCCCGCCCCCAACGAGGGCCCAAAGCATCCCACCCAAGGACAGAGGCTGTGCAGCTGAATGGGGCCCAGGGGAGCCAGGGCTGCTTCATCTCCTGCACAAAAGACCAAATGACTTCAATTAATTACAAAGAGAGCTGGCCTCATTATAAGAGCTCCTGCGATGCTGGAGGCCTGAGCCCCCATTTCAAACAAGGGGCCTTGGAAATAAAAATCTTTTCATATCAGGGTCATGTCCAGATTCACTGACATTGATCGTGGAGCTGGAATCCAGGGGCAGCGGCATGGGGCAGGCTGGAAAAGGGAGTAAGGTCATGTGTGTGTATGTGTTTCCTGAACAGGGAAGCCCTCCTCAGGCAGGGCCACCATGGACGGGTAGGCAGGCAGGTGAGCAGCGCCTGGGTCCCTCCAGCACTGGGCCGGCTGCTGTCAGTGAACCCAGGCCCCAGTGACCCACGGGAGCGACCCACGGGCTGCCTGAGGCAGGACCTGAAACCAGGAGAGCAGAGCCCCATCACCCTGGGCTAAGCCAAGCCTGGATCACGCGGCACAGAGGAGGAGAGTCAGTGGGGGGGGACCTCCTCCAGGTGACAAGTCTGCAGGCTAGAGAGGCCCCTCCTGCTCTGAGAGTCACAGGGACCAGCAGGGAGGCTGTGGCCCATCCTAGCCAGGGAGACACTGAGGGATACACACTGGGGAAGGGTCCCTGTTGGCAGGTTAAATTTTCCAAACAAGAGAAAACAGACTCACTCCAGGATGTGGACAAGGTCAGAACCCCAGTGCACGCACACCCAGAACTAGGAGAAAAAGTCACCAAGTCCAGGCCCCCCACAAAGTGAGTGGGGGTGGGGGTGAGAAGAGCAGGACTCCCGCCAGACTGGAAGTGGGGGGCGGTGTCCATTCACCAAGTCATAGCCACCAGCTCTCCAAACACCCTCCCCGGAGCGGGCACTAGAGGGCAGCACAAGCCCAGGAACAGCCGCTGAGCCGGCAGCTCCCTGGGACAGGCCTGGAGGACAGGCCTGGAGGACAGGCGCCAGAACCAGCCCTGCCCTGGGCCACCCCACGCCACACCTGGGCGCTCAGGGCAAGGGCAGGGGCGGCAGGTAAGGCCCCGCCTTACCGTGAAGGTCACCCTCACGGCTGGCAGGACTGGTACAGACTCTGGGGGTCACCACTGCATCCCCAAGCGGGGAGCCCACCCTTCCTCAGGGACTGCCCCCCATCCCCGCCCCCACATTGTTGGGGGGAGATGAGCCCAAGCAGGACACCACACCTGTCTCCCCCCAAGATCAGCCTGTCCTGCCCACCCAAGCGCCCTCCGCTTTCCCATCGAGGGGTGGGGATGCAAGCAGGTGGAGCTTCCGACAGCTGCACCTGGCAAGAGACCCAACTTCTCCACCCACCACCGCCATGCAGGTTCAGCTCAGCAGGGAAGTGGGTGTGAGGTTTTTCCTCTTATTCGTGCCCTTTGCAATGAAGCTTTCAGTAAGTAAATATGAAGAAGAAAATTAAAACGGTTTATAATCCCAATACTCCATAACCCCTGACATGTTTCTTTGAAGGAGGGCAAATGAAAATCAAACACGTACATACTTAAAAAGATAACAAAAGGAATCTGACTGAAATCCAGCCCTGGGCCAAACTTCTGGAAACACAGGGGGACCAAGGACCCCCCATGAGGGAACTCAGAACAGTCCAGAAAGACGGACACACTCTTGACCAGACCATACCATGCCAAGACAAGCGGGATTCTAACAACCCGGTTGTGAACAGACAAACAGCACAATTAAACAGTGGGAAAAGGACTCTAACAGACATTTTTCCAAAGAGACACAAATGGCCAATAAGCGCATGGAAAGATGCTCGAGGTGGTCAGCCACCAGGGCAAAGCAAATGGAAACCACAGTGAGACACACCTTGCCCACAACAACCAGAGTGAAAAAGCAGATAATGACAAGTGCAGGTGAGGAGGTGGGGAAACAGGAACCCGGACTCCCAGCTGGCAGAAACATGAAACAGCGCCGCCACTGTGGAAAACAGCCCGGCAGTCCCCCCAAAAGCTAAATGTGGCACTGACCACACAAGTCAGCAATCCTACTAGTCAGTACACACCCAAGAGAAACCTATGTCCACATGAAAACTTATACACAGATGTCCACAGCAGCACGCCTCACAGCAGCCAAAAGGTGGAATCACCTCGAGTGTCCATCACGAAATGAAGGTACACAAACCAGCCCCGCCACTCAGCGGCACGTCGGGAGCGCCGCTCGGCCACGGTACAAAAGGAAGCCTTGACACTTGCTGCAGCGGGACGGACCTCGAAAATGTGATGCTTGGTGAGAGAAGCAGAACCAGAAGGACCCCAGAGGCTAAGGTCGGGTTTCTTTAGGGAGCAATGGAAATGTTCCCTTCAACTGTGGTGATGGCTGCAGGACTCTGAACACACATGTGAAAATTATGTGTTTTAAACGGAGGAACTGGCTGGTGGGTGGAGTCAATCTCAATAAAGCTGCTGCTCCCGCCAAAAGAGAAACAGAGGTTGGGGTGGGGGAGAAGAAAAGAAGAAAAGTTCTGCACTTGCAAAAACGAAACCTCTGGAGCCTGGCAGGATGGGCGACTAGAGCCCTCATCTCTTCAGCCCACAGAAGGGCTCCCCCAAACCTGAGCCCCTCACTCCATGGACGGAGGACACCCCCTGGGTGTCGGCCATGGAGAAGGTGTCTACAGGAGGTGTGAACTCCAGAGACACTTGGTGGGTCCCCCCGCCGGCCCCGCCCCGGCTCTCAAAGCCCCTAGCAGCAAAGACTGTGCCCCTCTCTCCCCATTCCTCATCCTGAGGCTCCGGGCAGAGCATCCATACAGGCCACAATCAGGGAGTTTTACACAAGCTGAATGGACAAACCGTCTGCTCTGCGAATCACCTCTCAATAAAGTGATCTTCTCTTTTTAAAGTCATGTGTTCAGGAGACCCTGCATGACTCGGCCTTCCTGAGGCCCCCCAGGCCCCCTGCAGCCCCCACCGCCTGGGACGGAGGAGCAGGACCAGACGGGAAGGGCACTGCCCGGCTGTCCTGGGGGCTCCTCCTCACCAAGACACATCTGACAAGAGGGACCACTAAGTCAGGTTGACAAGGGATCCCCGCCCTCTAGGTCCCAGTGAGTCCAGCCCAGAGGGGCCCTCCTGCGCTGGTACCTCCGCCCAGTGGCCTTCAAACTTGGGGACTCATGGGCTGGGCAGTAGGGGTACTCTGGCTGCTCCCATGAAGGTTGCCACCCCACTTGTGCTGCACCGCGGTGACCAGATGTGGCTCTTTTCCGCCCCTCCCAGGAGCAGAAGGCTCTCTGGATCTGGACCCCAGCCTGGGGTAGGCACCCCCAGGAGCCCAGGACAGTGGAGTGCGCTGAGCCTGAGCGCCTCGGGAAGGAGAGGGTGGGTGAGAAACACCCCCAGGGGGTGGGCCTCCTACAGCCAGGCACACTCTGTCCATCTGAGACCCAGGACTCAGACGAGAGATGACTGGCAGGGACGCCGCCTCCCCAGGAGAGTCTCGTCTTTCTGACCCAGTGGGCCCCGGACTAAGGGTTTCTGAGGCTGATGGCAGATGTTGTCCAGGAACTGGACGTTGGGAACCTGCAACTCTGGGGTTTGACAAGAATATAGTAGTACTCAGTGTGTGGAAAGGTATGTCCTCTGGAGAAAATGTAACCTCACAACACAGCTAAACCTTGAGGAGTGCACTGACTTTGAAAAGGATTCCGGGGCTCTCTGAGGTGTCTCTCCCTGAGATCTCTCCCCCCAGCCCCTCCCTCTGCTTGTTCCATCTGCTGCCAGGTAGAGCCCCAGCCTCCTTGGGATTCCTGGCCAGCCCCGGGTCTGTCCCCATCTTGGCTCAGCTCCTGCACCAAAGCCCAGTTCCCAACAGGGGACGACAACTGGGAGCCCCTGAGCAGGCTCAGGAGGAGCAGCTGCCCCTCAACAGGAGTCAAGACGGAATCCACCCTGGAGGCAGAGCTCGATACTCCCAGCCCTGTCCCGACCCCCTCTCCAGCCCACCACATGAGCCTGGCACTCTGTCACATGTCCCTCGAACCTGCATACAGTTCCCGACTTCATCCTTCTCTGCCTGGAGCACCATCTACCACCTGGGTTCCCTGCACACCAGGCGTGCTCCCTGATCACACAGAGCCTGAAGTCCACCCGGGTTCCCTGCACACTGGGTATGCTTCCTGATCACACAGAGCCTGAAGTCCAGGGGGCACTCGGGGCCACTACCTGCTGCCCTTCCACATCCCCAGCCCATGTCAGAGAAACCTCTGCCCCCTCTGCTCCCTGGCCTGTGCAGCTGGATCGGGGGCTCAGGGTGCCGCCTCCACACAGCAGGAGCACTAAGACAGGGGAGCACAGGCGCCAGGGGCCCCTCAGAGGATGCAAGGACATGGCCTCAACCTGAGTCCACCCCATGGAACTGGACTGAACCTGCTACAGGAGTGAGATGGACAAGGCGAGCAGAGCCCAGAGGCAGGAAGGTGGGAGGCCGAGGCCAGACGGGGCCTGTGTGGGCACAGGGTGAGGGCAGGGCCCCGAGCACCAGGTTGGGTCCATCCTGACATTTACCTGAACGACGCCAAGACTGAAAGGCACAAACGAAGAATGACCCACATCTCTGTGCATGCATTCCTGTCAGCTACCAAACAATCTCCACAAACCTAGGGGCTCCAACAGTGCAAACTCCCCCCCAAGTTGTGAGGGCCAGGAGTCCTGTGCGGATCTCTCATGAGCTGTGTGCCTTCTGGGGGGCTCCTGACTCTCCCAGCTTCTAGAGGTACCACCTCCCTGGCTCGGGCCCCTCCCTCCATCCTCACAGCCAGCAGTGCAGCATGTCCCGTCTCTCAGGCTCTTCTCTCTGACCTCTGCCTCCATCACCAGGTCTCCTTCTCCAAGAAGGACTCTTGTAATGACATCAGACAGCTCAGATAACCCAGGCTGAGCACCCATCTCCTGATCTTTAACGTCGTCCCAGCTGCTGAGATCCTCTCACTATGTCAGGGAGCATCTTCACAGGTCCCATGATTAGGGCCTGGGCATCTTGGGGGGCACTATTCCATCTCCCTCAAACATGAGAAAAATCCATCACATAGGGCTTCCTTGGTAGGTCAGTGGTTAAGAATCTACCTCGTGATGCAGGCAACACGGGTTGGATCCCTGGTCCCAGAAGATTCCACATGCCTCCGGACAACTAAGCCCCATGAGATGAAGTCCATGCGCCCACACTCTGTGCTCCACAATGTGAAGCCCACGCCCTGCATCAAAGCATATCCCCTGCTCGCTGCAACTAGAGAAAACCATGCACTCAGCCACCAAGACCCAACAGGGCCAAAAATAAATTTTTTAAAAAGAATATTAAAAAAAAAAAAATCCATCCCAGAAAGAAATAAGTAATAGTCACCGCACCTCTGCCCACTCGCTCAGACAGAAGTTTCTAGAAACCCAGGAAGAGGACCAAGCAATACTCAGTGGTCTGCAATGCCAACCCCCGACCCCCACAGTCCTCCCACCACGCAGACACGGACAGCACCCCAGGCACAGAGCCTCGAGTCTCTCTCTGGCTGCAGAGATGACTCACAGGCACAGCCTGAGGCCCCAGAAAGCCCTGGGAGCTGCTTCTAGCCACTCTTCCCCCCCAGGTGACCTTGGCCTGCGTCTTCACGTTGGAGCCAGTGCTCCTGCAGGCTGACTCACAGGGTACAAGGCTGTCGCCTCATCAGTCCCCCTGCCACTCGGCTGAGCTGTGTGGAGGAGTCAGGAGGTGTGAGCTGTAAGCTGGGCTGCGTAACACCGCAGGCAGAGGTCCTGCCCTGGAGTTCTATTCCCGGGTTCAGCCCATCCTCCACATTCCCAGAGCCCCTTGGCTGATCCGAGAGCAAGCATGTACCACCCGGGAACAGCGAGGATCAGGCCCACACACTCGGATGATGCTGCAGGGCCAGCAGCACTGGCCCACAGAAACCTCAATAAGCCACGTGGGGCAAAGCCAGTCACAACCTCAGGCAACTCGGGCAATAAGGGTGTCCTGGTTCGACACCCAGTCTTTCCACTTAAGTACCCCCCCCGCCAAACTGCAGGCGGCAGGTGAATCAACAGTCACGTGTACCCTAGGGTCAGGGCCTTTGCTCAAAACGACAGGAGCAAACAAGAAACATTTATCTCATTTCTCCACCAAAAAACTTGGACTAAGACCACCTTCTGCTCCTGATCTTCAGTATCTGTTTGAACTTTGAAAAAAAAAGTTCTCCTTGTCACGACCCTCTGAAGAGGATGTGCCCATCATGAGGCTGCCCACAGAGCCCCTTGGGCACCACTCAATCCCACCACTGTGAGAAGGGAGATATCAATGAACAGATGCAGCTACGCACCAATAAAACCTTATTTACAAGAACAGACAGTGGGCCAGGGAGTCCGCAGGCCATACCCCAGACTCAGAGGCCTGACAGCTACCCTCTAAGGAGCAACACCTGCACGCCACCCCAGGGAGAGGGGAACCCGAGCTCCACAGCCCAACTCCTGGGTTCCTAAATCATGGTAGAACACAAGGCCACGTTCTAGTCCATGCTAGGCCCTCATCAGCCACGAGGCCTTGGTAGGAGCCTGCAGATAAGGTCAACACTGAACACGAGCCTTCCTCACCGTGGCCTGGAGCATGGGGCCGCTCGTCCCACCCTGAATCCTCCCCCACCCATGGGTGCTGATCAGAGACGCTCAGGCTGTACCCTCTCCTATCACTAGTGATCCCCTCGGGCCATCTTCAGAGGCCACCCTCTGTGAACCCTCTGTCCCTGGTTAATTAGAAAAGTCCAGGAGAAGGTGAAAACCCTGGAGCTGAAACTCAGAAGCAGCTGGGCCGCCAGGATTCTTTTCAAAGCATTCAAAAAATAATCCTTCATTTTTAGAGACCCTCCCCTCCCCATGACTGGGGTGGCGTGAATATGCCCCTTGATGAAGCCAGACATGGCATCCCACCCAGGGAGGGACACGACGCAGACGGGGCTGCTCATCCTGAGCAAGCCTGGTGGTGCCCCCCGAAACGCACGAGGCTTCTCAGGGCTTCTAGAAGCGACGGGCCAACGTGCAGACATGGAGCCCACAGGAGAACAGACCCACCCAGCAGAACCACCTGAGGGGTCCGGGCTCCTCTTGGGGCATCAGGTCCCTGGACACCCCAGGAACTCAGAACTAAACAGGGCCGCCTTCTTCACCAGCAGCCCTGGGGACGGAACCACACACCACTTACTTCACGGTTCCTGGTCGGTCGTGGGGAGCAAGGTCGCAGAGACCAAAAGTCCAGTAAGTGGCTTCTCTTAGGGTTTCTGCGGGGTTTCAGCAATGGCGATGGTTTCTAAAATGCACAGAATAAAAGCATGGTGAACGAAACTGATGGCTGCTGGATCTTAACTCCAAATTATGCACCTTGCAGCTGCCTGTAGCCCAGGCATGCCTGCCTCTGTTCAGACGTTTCCAGGGACATGAAAATCCACAACCATGAGCACCTTCCCCACTACGCCTCTCGAAAACGGCCCAGTCTACACTCAGCTCCTAAACATCAGCTGAGGAAGCAAGGGCCTCCATGAACAATCGCATCAGACCCAAGAAGCTTCTGGAAGCCTTAGGGTACAGACACTCCTGGGAGATGCACACAAAGTCCTGCCTGCTCGGGAACCCCGCAGGCAGGGAAGGTGTCCCTGAAGGAAGACAGTGGGACGGGAACCGCCACGCGATGACTGCCATCTACACCCCCCGGGGCAGCCGTGTGCAGCGGAGACCCTCACGGAGCACAGGATCACAACCACGGCACTCACAGCTGGGCTCAGGGACATTTGCTGAATGGACCCCGGATCAAGATTCCAAACACGGGGTGTGGCCCCAAGGCCCCCAACAGTCTGGCCTCCCCGCCCCCACTTTCCAGACACCTGGGCTTGGGGGCTTCCAGACCCTCCCTGCAACAGTGATGTCTCACATGTTGCCCAAGGCCAGACGGGTCACTGGGGGCCAACCTTCTGGACTGGGCAGCTAGGTCCTGGGGTCCTGGGGTCCTGGCTGCATGGAACTAGGTCCCCCGTACCTTCCCCAACTCAGCGGTAGCTTTAAATAGCATGAGTCCCACAAACACCATTTCAATAGACAATGCCTGTTGACATTTTCTTATTTTAATTGGGTTACTAAAATTATTGGGCACAACCCACTAAATTGATGTCATGGTCTTCTATACATATTTTTTTTTTTTGGTTGAGCCACAAGGCATGTAGAATCTTAGTTCCCTCACCAGGGATTGAACCTGTGCCCCCTGCACTAGAAGTGTGGAGTCTTAACCACTGGCCTACCAGGGAAGTCCTGGTTTAGCTGCCTTCTAACAGGTCCCACCTCCAGGGCTGAAAGGCCACACCAAGCTGTGGAATTACCAGCCTCGGGTGCTTGCCGCCGCCTCTGAACCTGCTAAGCCGCCCATGGCAACGTGAGATCCCAAGGGCTCCCTGGCCTCTCCCACTTGCCCGGCTGCCACCTGCCCCGCCAGCAACAAGAGCTGGTGTCTGGGGATTCGATTACTCTGGCATCCCCCTCCCCGCCCCCACACGGCTGTGCCTGGCGGAACTACGGCCCCCGGCACATTCCCAACCTGGTCCCTGGGAGCTGTGACTATGCTCTCTTCGGTGGCAACAGACCGCAGACAGGAATAAGCGTCTTGACATGGCAGATGCTCCTGGGTTATCTGAGGGCCCAGTGTCACCCAAGGGTCCCTCAGAGAGGGAAGTGAGAAGGTCAGAGTCAGCAGAGGTCAGAGCGATGCGCTCTGAAGACAAGGGCCCACCAGCCGAGAACGCGGTGCCTCTAGAAGCTGGAAATGGAGAGCAACAGATTCACCCCTGGGGCCTCCAGGAGGAACCCAGCCCTGCCTAGGCCTTGGTCCCAACCCAGTGAGACCCGGGTCAGACTTCCGGCCTCCAGGGAAGTGAGATGACAGACTCGCGCTGTGTTAAGCCACTGTGTCCGTGGTCGTTTGTTACAGTAGCAAAGAGAAACTGACCTGGCGGCTTCCACACGCATCCCCCTGACGACGGAGGAGGGGGCCCGTTCACTCCCAGTGCCCACAGGTACCCCCCCTTCACTCATGTCTAATGCACCATGTGTCTCCCCTGTCACTTGTCACTGCCTCTTGGCACTCTCTCTCCCCAGAGGACGATGACGACCCGGCAGCATGTTGGCGGTTAGGCAGAGACCGCCTGAGCCTGTGGTCCTCAGCTGGACAGACTCCAGTCCGTTGCCACCCATGGCTGCAAGGTCACCGAGACCATGGGTCCTCCTGCCATCATGCTCTGGGGGATGACAGCATTGACCCCAGGAGAGGAGGCTGGAAGCTCTACGGCTGAGGTCAAGGCTCAGTTCTCCGGCCACAGGCAAGGCAAGGCCTCTCTCCACCTAGACCTCTGTCCATGCAGGGCTAGGCTCACCCACCTCTCTTGCTCCCACAAGGGCTGAGGACACCGTGGCCAGCCTGTCACCATCAGGGGCTTGACCTCCTTTCTGGCCACAGCCAACCTGGCAAAGGGGAGCCAGGGCTAAGGAATCAGAGGGGGCTTAAGTGTCAGCTGGGCACAGTGACCTCCTTCCAAAGGGGACAGCATGGGAAGAGGGGAGGCGTGACTCTACAGTGGAGACACCTGACCAGCATGACCTCAGCCCAGGGACCCAGGTCAACACCAGCAGGGAAGAGTCAGGCTGACGGCAGTCACCCCAAGATGATGGATGAGATGGCCCCTCACCTCCTCCCCACACCCAGTGCCCCAGTGTCACCATGAGAAAAACACCAAACTCCCATGGAGGGAAGTCTCTGACCCCAGTCCTCCTCAAAGCTGTCAAGAGCATTAACAACAAAGAAAGTCTGAGGACTACCAGAGCCCAGAGGAGCCTGAGGAGATGGGATGTCTGAACATCACAGGGGTCCTGATCAGGGTCCTGGGACAGAAGAGGACACCAGGGAGACATGGGGCAAGCTGGATGAAGCAGGACCCTAGTCAACAAGAAAGTCTCCATAAGGTTCATGGATTGCAACAAACGCACTCACCTCATGTAACACAGAGTAACCGGAGACTGGGTGTCAGGGTCAAGGGTACAGGGAACTTGCCCTACCAGCCTCAGTTTCTCTACAAATCTACAACCGTTTAAAAATTAAAGTCTAAGTAATTTTTTTTTTTTAAGGAAAATAGAACAGAAAGGCCTGGTGCCTCCCGCTGTACAAGCTGGCAGGGCCGGAAAGCCTGTGCTGAAGACAGAACTCCAGGTAGACGAGGGTGTCCGGTAGGCGGGGGAAGGCAGCAAGGTGACAGGCTAGGCAGTGACCCCAGGCCTCAGACACCACCACCTCGAAGAGGCGCAGTCTGACCATTGCTCCTTTAAAAAGCGCCATGCGGCGATCAGATGATGTCGCTGTTGGAGGCACCTGCCAAAGCCCCAGATGCTGGTGGCTCCTCCTTCACCTCCTCCTCCACCCTCCGCGCAGGGCAGGCAGGTGGGGCAGGGAAGAAGCGGCAGAACAAGGGACGAGCTAGCTGCCCCACGTGCTGGGGCACCGGAACTGCCACCGACTACTGGCATCTCTGGAGACCCCACAGGGGTACCTTGGCCCCTGGTCCGATACCAGCTCTGGGCCACCCAGGGCTGGCCCTCAGGTGGAGCCACCCACGCCAACCACGTGACCTTGGAGCTGGGCCCAGGGCCTGAGAGATGACGAACTGACCAGTGTCTGTTGCCCAGAAAGGCAGGAAGCCTGCGCCTGTGTGTTACCTGACCCAGGAGGGCTCAGGGCCCAATTCAGCCTGCTCCGCCCTTGGCCATGAGCCCTGAGAAGCTCTCAAAAGGGGTCTGGAGCTTCCTGTCACTCAGCCTAGCCTGCAGGGGCTCTGTGCGCGCATCACGGGGCAAGGAGGCCACCCGGAGCCTCCATCATCAAAGCAGCATGAACTCAAGGGCTTTTGAAAAATATACATAGAAAATAACAGAAATAAGCACAGATATCCCCTGTGCAGGGATGCACATTCACAGTTCCAGGCTGTGTGGACCCAAGGGCCCAGGAAGTCATGCCACCCACAGCACTGAACATATCAGCACCTGGATGTCGGCTTTTAAACACCCTCCCCTACAGCAGGAACCAGGGCTCCCTGGAGAAACCGTCAAGTGCAAGGCGGGGGCAGGGAAAATACAAGGTGAGCTGGAGCACCTTGTGGGGGCAGGGAGGGTGCAAACACTCCTAAAAGATGGGGGTCTCCAATGACAAAAATGAGGACAAGATGAACAGCTAGCATCCTGGACTGTAACCCACAGGATACTGTAAACACACGCCCATCCTTAGGTATGAAATTCAAAATGTAATGCAAAGGGGAAGAAGGGACAGCTGTCCTCTACAGAAGAATTCTACTTCATAGGAACTTCCCTGGTGGTCCAGTAGCTAAGACTCCAGGCTCCCAATGCAGGTGGGCTGGGTTTCATCCTTGGTCAGGGATCTAGATCCCACATGCCGCAACTAAAGATCCTGCACACCACAAGGACGATTGAAAATCTCAAGGGCTGCAACTAAGACCTGGCACAGCCAAGTCAATAAATATCAAAGGAAAAAAATAAGTGTTCTAGTTCATAAATGCAGAAGCAATGCAGGCAACATAAATAAAATGCACCGTGAGATCCACACAGTGACCACTGCTGCCAGGAAAATCCACCGTGGATGCGGAAATCGACATGCAAATATTTGATAAGAAACGGGTGTGCTGTCTCGAGATCCCAGAGGGAAAACCTGAAACTTCGAATCAGAGAATCCCAGCCAGGGCCACCTTATCCGAGGGGTGAAGGTTGACCCCACAGGCAAGGAGACACATCAGCACGTCACCCCCGGGGAGCCTCCCGAAAATGCACAACTTCTGTGTAACCATGAGAAACCAAGCCAAGGTGAGGGATGCTACAAAACCCCCAAGCAGCGCTCTGCAGAAGTGTCAAGGTCGTGAGAGACAAGCAGACCGAGAAACGGCCTTGGCCCTGAGGAGTCTAAGGAGCCTGACGCCTTCACCGTGGGGTCCTGAGCAGAAACGGGGCTGAGAGGGCCAAGCACTGGGACCCTAATCAAATCTGAAGTTGCTGTTCTCACTCCTTCCGGGCATCCTTCTGCAGCCCCATCAGGTGTTGGCATCCGGGAAGCGCGGCTGAAAGGGACACAGGGAACGCCCCCTGCTTTCTTTGTAACATTTCAATGCCTCTCAAATCATTTCAAAATAAAGTATCAAAAGCGCACACACAAAAAAACTTTAAAAACATAACCACCTCTATTTCCTTCCTCTGAAGCTCACTGCACAGCAG